AGTAAAAAAGCAAGAGGAAAAAGTTGCTCACACTTGAACTTGAAATCATCAAAAGAAGAAAAAGAAAAAACAATGATATTAAAATCAAATGATAAATTAAACTAGAAAAAACAAATATCTAGAATTATTTGAATTGTTATCTGTTATTATTTTTAAATTTCAGTATAATATACTATACAATGTATATAAATATTGTGTAACTATGTAATGTATTTAAAAAAAAATTATTTTTAATTAATTATGCAAATTGAAATCTATATAAAAAAACTATAATTCATAAAGAATTAAATTTTTAATGATTTATTTATTATTTTGGACAATTTTTATATTTATTTTGGACATATTTTATATTTTGGATATCATTCATTACAATGTGTTATAGAAATAATAGATAAGTAGTCATATCGTATTGCCATATATTACAAAATATATATATATATAATAGCATATATAAACAAAATTCAATCATATCAAAAATTTTTTTTATTAATATCTTGGAAATAAAGAAAGACTCATAAAGACTCGAAGCTAAAATTCTATATTTTTCTTTTCCCTTTTCTTTTTGCCTCAAAATTTGCTTTTTCGGTCAAGAAATGCGTACCGCATTTTATTCAAACTAAATTATACAATAATCGAAATAATTTTACTCGAAAAAAATTAATGAATAAACATAATTAATGAATAAAATTAATGAATAAAATATTGCAGTAGTAAAAGAAGAAAAGTATAATATTTATACTTTTTAATAGATATTTAATAGATTTTTAATAGATATAAGATATGATAATAATGTAATGTAATTAAAATGTAGATATTAAATTTCAACTATTATTTCTTTCTGTTTAGTGATTTCATATCAAAATAAGATATTATTATAAACATGTAAATAAGAAATAAAATTTTTCAATTAATGCACTTATGAAAATCAATTAATTCAAGTATTATTAGTGATTTTTTTATATGAGAATAATTTAAAAAAGCAAGTTTGTGTTAAAAAAATATCATAATCTAAAATCTTATAAAAAATGATGATTAAATAAAAAATACAACGATTTATCTATGGATTTAAATAAAATGTTGTTTATATAAATTGTTTTATTAATATTCTGGAATTTAAAACTTATTCAAGATAAGTGTTTATTAAATAAGTTACATAATTTTATATAAGTATATATATAATATTATAGATACTATTAATCTTTATATCAATTTTCATATGAATAATTTGCGTTGAAGAAATATTTATTATATTCTTTATCATATATTTGTATTTGTAAATTTTTTAATATCTTTAATGCATTCAGCTATCTTTTATTTTTTTCTACTTTTTACAATATTATTACAATATTATTATTATATTAACGATTTTATTTTTATTGATGGATAATCAAATTACTTTTTGAATTATTTGGATTAGATCTTATATTTTCAATGTATTCAAATTTTTTAAAAGATATTTTACAATTTAATTTCTTATTGATTATTGAATTAAAGTTATTTAGATTCAAAATGTTGTTAACGATAGTTTTTCTATAGTTTGCAGTATTTTAGCTTTAAGTGATGTTCTTTTTAATTTCTAATTCATTTTTGATTCTATTATTATATAATTGTTTCTTAAAATTTGAAAAAAGTTTTTGTATTGTTTTGAATTGAATTTTTTTTTTTAAAAATGAAAAAAAAATCAATACTTATGTTTTTTCATTTATGATTTTGCATTTTTCTACTATTGCTATTGTTATTTGCATATGTAATAATCATATATATATCATATGTATTGTATAGATATTTTATGTAATATTTAATGCTATTTTTAATAATAATGGTTCTTTCATATCTCCCATATCCTAATGGATGTTTTGTATCATATATACTATAATGAGATTTTAAAATGAATTTCCGAAATTACCATCAATATTTTATTTAAATTATCATCAAAATAAATAAAAAATCATGTAAATAAATATTTTTCTTTTTACTATATAATATAATTTTATATTATAACAATAATAATAACATTATAATAATATAAATTTTTTCTGTTATTATTCTGTTATTATTGTTATTCTTATTATTCCATATTACTTTGATTAAGCAATCTATTATTTATTATGATTGATAATGTAAATAATTCTATCATAAAAATTATTTATTATTTATCATAAACTTTACATTTTTTATGGATTAAATTAATAATAATTTTAATTCTGTATATTTCCGAAATGATTAAGTGGTTGATGAAAATTCAATTCTATTATTATAATATTATGTTCAACAATTTATTATATATATTATATAAGTTATGTATCTGTTATACTTCAATAAATTCTATTACTTATAAAGATTGAAAGTGATTAAATAAAAGAATTAGTATTAGATTAGTTATTGTTATTACTAAATTATTGTGTTTGTTTTCTATTTGAAATTATTCAATTTTTAAAGGAAAGAAAGAAATTTTTGTTGTATCTGTTTTTACACTTTTGTGATTGCAAGACATTTTCTTTCGCTATTTAGTTACTGTTTAATGTTTTGTCGCTTTTAATTATATTTTTAATTCGTTTTTTAATCGAATTAAAATGAATGAATCGTTTTGTTATTTCGATTACATTAATGATGACAATTGGATTGTTATCTATTAATAAAATATTTTATATATTACTTGTAAGTAGCCAATTTTACATTAGCCATGTTTATGTTTGTATATGATTTACAATGGTATCTATTCTTTTATATCTTTTTAGTTGAGTTTACCAGAAAATTTATCAATTATTTAATTAATCAAAAAATTAATCTAAATATTCTATATAATTCTATATATTTGCATGTTGCATTCCATATGCTATTTGCATATAATCCAACCATGTGAACTCTAATCATCATATTCTAAATTTTCATCTTTTAAATTTTCGTTTTTTTACATTAAATATTTTTTTATCTCATTATCAGTTTTGTTCACTTAAAAATGATGAATAAGTACAAAAGCGAGTCCTTTATCATTATTTTCCTCATGATTATACGAATTATCATAGAAATCATTGTATTTTCTATAATTTTGTATACTTAAATTTAATTAAATAAAAATAAAACATCATTTTAAAAACATATCGGCATCTAATAGTTGTTTTCAATTTTGAGTTGTATTGACAGTGTTTTAAATTTGCTTTTGTATTATTAAATACATAGATACATACTTACATGCCAATATATACATATATACAAATTATGAACGAATAAGAAATTTATTTTGTCTATTTGATAGTTTAACAAAAATTAGAAAAAGACTTATTATTAAGAATGTAATATCACTCAATTCATTTTTTTTTCAATTCTAATAATAATGAATTTGGACATTTCATGAATTCTTTGAAAAATAAAATAATAAAACATAATATTAATATCGCTATTATTGTAACTTTGATTATTATAATTATTATAATTCATTTTGTAATCATTCACAAATTAATTGAAACGTATAGAACAACAAGTAAAACGATTATATTGTATCAATTGCATTATATACACAGTCATATATATATATATATATATATATATATATTCATATATAAACAGAATGAAATAAAATAATACTAATTTTTATCGAAAATATATCAAAAACTATAAATTTGTAATCATTGTAATTTGAGACATAAGCTTTCTATCAAACTATCATATATCTTTTAATTCCTTATTTCAATAAGTAAAATTATATCGAAACTTTTATTTTCTCGATAAATATTTAGAAAACGATCATCATATATATAATATAAATACAATAAATACAAATATAATATCTGTAATATATTATACAATAAAAATATTATATCAACATACTTATATCAACAACTTTTTTTTATATATGCAATCTTCGCTCTTAATTTTAGATATATTTATAAAAAATTGTATATATTATTGTTACATTGAATTTCATTTATATATCTAATAACGTATGGTTTATTATGTGCACCACGTCATTTATCTACTATTTCTATAATACTGCAGTAGTTAGTATCTAAAATATATAAAGAATGAACCAGTCAAAAAACTATGTCCTCATAATAGACTTGAAATATTTTAATTCTAATATTTAGAATGCAAAAATTAAATATAAAACAAGACTAATTTTAGTTATTAATATAATGAATTAGAGAATGTACGATAATTCGATTGAAAATTTAAAATTAACTATCTTAAGCATTATAATGTTTTATAATTATATTATAATTATAATCGTTGAAAATTCATAATTTCTAAAATTAACAAAAATTATTACTATTACAGAATTTTGTTTATATATATGCATCCAATGTATATATCAATGTGGGATTGCTGTTTATTTTTATAAATATATTATACTATATTTAAAATGTATAATGGATGAACTAATATAACTTATTAATATAACTATTTATAATTAATATTTATCTATGCACAGATTGGATATTCTATGTTTTTTGAATGCAAGAATAGAATAAAATAATCTTTAGGAAATTGAAATTACTATGACTATTATTATATATTAAATTATTTAATATACGATTGATTTCACTATTATTATAATTTCAATTATTCAAGGATTGTTATATATTTCATTTTCATATTTTGCAAATCCATTGGTGATATTATTAGGTGTGCAAATAAGTTCTTTCTCCTTTTTTTCCAAATTCAAGATTTTATTAATAAATATAATCATCATATTCATCATGTAATATTGTATTCATCCTCATTCTCTATAATCATTTGGTGACTAAATTATAAATTCTAGCCCTGAAGAATGACGGCTGCTTGCTAGTTATGAAATCACCAATATATTTTTGGATATCTTCTACTGAATTGAAATGCTTCTCCGACAATTGGTATTGCAGATTCTGAAAAAAATGGTCCTCTGACGGAGCCAAGTCTGGAAAGTGCCGCATGTGGCAGAACTTCCTATCCTATACATAAATTGTGTTTCCTTTTATAGTTGAGCATTATCAGATTGCGAAATCACGTGACTTGTTTCTTATTTAATAAACATTTCTATCCTAGCTGATCATTTACATTCATTAATTGATAATATTCAGTTGTTTTTCCGGGTGGAAGCAATTCATAATGGATTCCTCGGAAATCTCAACAAAACTTTTTTGCAATGCAAATTCAATTTTACGACTGAAGTTGACGGGTACAGGATTAATCCATGATTTCTGTCGATTGTCATATAATATTATATCATATAATATCATATAATATAATATTTTTCATTACCAGTAATAATTTTGTGAAAACTTTTCCTTTTTGCCATGGAAGCAAGACAATAGAAATCTCGAGTCTGTTTTTCTTATTCATTTCGCTTAATTCGTGAGACTTATTACTCTAACTTCTGAATCTTATCCAATTGTTTTAGTCGGATAGATAAAACAATACTTGTCTGGTGACTCCCAATCTTTCTGTCAATTCTTCTTGCATCTTCATCGGATTTTCGTTGAGCAATTCCTTTAACTCACTATCATCAAACTTTCTCGGTGCATTTGAAGAATCGTCGTCTTCTAAATTAAAATTTCCGGCTTTAAATCTTTAGTACCACTTTTTGCATATTCTGTAAGATACAGCATTCTCTTCTACAGTGCCGCACAAACGATCAGTACTTTCAACAGCTGATTTCCTAAATGGAATGCAAAAAGTAAGCAATGACGTAAATAATGCTTCTCGTATATTGCTTGAAATTGTTGCATAAACTCTTAGAGCGCTTATTACAACTTTTCTTAAAAACAAAAGAAGCTCTTTCAAATGGCACCACAAACGGAAAGTAATTCGAATTTAATCAGAAATTATGATCATAGAAAAAGGAAAAGGAACTTATTTGCACATCTAATAATTCAGTTTATACATTTTAAATCATCGATGATATGTTTATAAATAAGCAATCGCATATTGACATACATTTTGTCATGAGCATGAACATATACTATGAATTTAGATAACAATTCTTGAGATAGAATTCGATTGAATTATTATGCTTTTCGATTCGTTATTCGTATTATAATAATAATTATAATATAATAATATTAAATATAATATTCGTATAATAATAATTAAATAAATAAAGTAATGCGAAAAACAAAGTGACCAAAAATATTATTATCATTTATCGATCATACAAGGATTGTTTTATATTTTATTTAAATTTTTTCCATAAATTTAAATAAATATTAAATATAATTATATTAATTTGCTTATTATTATATATTTTGTTAACTTATATATATATGAATGCTGGTTGTTTAATATGTTTATATAAATAATTCATTAAATAAGATTTGCACTCATTGTCATGAACGTACATAATCGAAATTCATTATCATAAACGTACATAATCGAAATTCAATGTATTAAAAACAAACTAACTCAAACATTAAAGCCAAGCAGCAATTATATATATTGAAAAAAGTTGTTAAAAATTGTTATTCTTTATAATATATTTAAAATTGAAAATGACAATCACTTTCTAAATAATCATTATTTTTTCTTTACCTTAGTATCTTGATCCTCGAACGGTAAATCGGAAAATTCAGAACTGACTTCAGTACAACGTATACGCATAGTTCGTGAAGGTGTCACCAAAAGCGTCAGATTTGTACGCTGAAAAAAAATATAGTAAGTAATTAATCTCAATTTGAAAACAATATTTGAACAATTCTTTCTGAACAATAGTCAAAGAATAATCGACTTTTCTTTACCTCTTTAGCAATACAACCATGTGCTTCTTTGAATTGTAAAACTATTTCTCGAAAGTCTCGAGTCGCATTCCATCGTGACCACGAAAAAATATAAGAAGTAGACAAAAGAGCCATACACTCTCTTAAGTGTTTCTCTGCAATCGGGTGTTTTATTGGGAGTCCTTTCAAATAACTGGCAGCATCTCGTTCCGGAAAAAGATCACATCCAACCTGTTGTAACCGCTGTGAGCAGCTTTTGCATTACTTACTGTCAATTATTTGATTATCGCGAGAAGATAAATAGAAATATATGATTTAAGTCGAAGAAAAATTCAAAATGAATTATCACATACCTCGATTAAGTATTCTAATTCGAAATATTCACCGAGAATTTCTTCAAGCGGTGTAGACGTGGTACCGGTGAATGATTTTAAACAAACTTGATCTTCCTGTATAAATAAAATTGATTTGCAATATAAATAAAAAAATATTAGATAATCAAATAAAAAAATTTCGCATTTAAATTTTAAGTTTCAATTGGGGAAAGTACCCTGATAAGAAATTCAGCTTGAACTATAGCAGCTGTAATAGTGAGAATTACTCCAATGTGAACACAGCCACTTTTTTTCGTTTCTGGTTTTAATTCCCAACTTTGAAATGGAAGATTTGCGTATTTATATCCAGCTAATCCATGAATACCCAATCTTCCAGTTCTGAAAGCAATTGTTTGTTTCTCTTCATTGTATTTAATATCGTGAATATCTTTTGTTGACCATATCCTTTTTTCTGGTAACCAATGAGCGACTACTGGTGGTTCAAACCAGAAAATCGACTCTGGTAATCTGTCAGAAGAACAAGACAAACAGCAACAACAATTTCTATTAACAAATTTTTAGAACAAGATTGTGTTAATAGAAATATATAAGAAAGGAAATTTCGCGCAAACTAACTTGAGGGTAAGCAAGATTAATGCATCCATTGCCACTTCTAAAGCTTTCATTTCAGCCTCGATAATTTCCGGCGTTCTTTCAGAATCTGGATCTGACCGAGGTGTTTCATATGGTTTATAAAATGGCACAAATTTTGGTTCTTTCGGTAACTCAACTGTAAAAATGAATATGGTTTCATTTTCGATTCGAAATTATGTTTTTGTTACTAATATGTCATTATGATTTAAAACCAGCTATTTATATATGTATATTTTAGCAGATATGAGACACAACATTGATTTATAGGCATTAACATTAAATTAACTAATATTAAATATTGAAACTATATAAAAAGGCTATAATAACTTCAATATTAAGGATATTTTGGAGGATCAATTCTAAAGACTAAAACAAAAATATAATTTATATAAAAAAAATATTAGTTAAATTTTATTATAACCTAAAATTAAACAATTAAATTTCTTTCAGATAAATTAATATAGATCTATGTCTGTCATATCAAAACCTGATCTGACAGAATCAATGCTCTGAGTTAAAGCATAAAAACAAAAAACATTTGACATTTTGCAAATAAAAAATAGAGATAAATAGAATTTATTTATTTTTCTGCAATTAATTATTTTTCTCCAATTAATTATTATTGATAATAATAAGTATAAAACCTAAAAAATTTATAATAGTAATTAATTTTTTATTAATTATATATAT